GAAGGAGATAGAGAAGAGTTTGTTGGACCTGCATCAGGTGTTCTTGGACATGGCCGTCGTCGTCGAAGCTCAGGGGCAGCAAATTAACGACATTGAAAGCCATGTCGCACGTGCGAGCTCTTTTGTTAGGAGTGGAGTGGCTGAGCTCGAGCAGACTAAAGGTTATCAGAAGAGATCGAGAAAATGGTATTGTATGGCCTTCTTGCTTGGTACTGTGCTGGTAGTTCTTCTTCTTCTCCCTTTTATTACCGCTATCGTCAGATCTATGTGAGATGAGGAACATGGACAGGTTGGGTTTTATTTTGGAAGAGTTGCATACATACCACTTAATTCCTATGTATTTACACCATTTACATATTGGTGAGACCTAAAATTTCAATTTTTTACATATATACCACCTTACCTATGCATGAAAAGTGGCTATTTTTGATGTGATGTAAATGATTTGGGGTATAAATGTAAAAAGTGAAGTTTAAGATTGTAGGGGGAATCTGTTTGTGTTGTAGGGTTATGTTGTTCTTCTGCAGAGATGATAAACATAGCACTCAATTCTCATGGATTTATGTATCCCACACCTAAACTTTCATATTTACACACAGACTCAATTTTTTTTTGTATCACATCAAATATAGCACTAATTATCACTTTTTAATGGGTAAATCTACATTTTCATGCAGAGGTCTATGCTTGTAAATCCGGAAGTTCAGGAAGGAGATGCGTAAATCCGTAAGAATTAGGTGCTATGTATGTAAATTTTCCATTAATCAAAATATGAAATGAGTTAGAAAAGAGTGATATTTTCATAGAAAAACATGGTATTTGACTAACATCAATAAAATGATGTTTGGCTAGTGTGAACTCATTCACAGAATGATATAACTTCAATCAACATTAGTTATAATATAGTGGTGATACTATGGTTTCAAGTTTTATGATTTATTACAAATAATAATGCTGTATGCTTTGATATACTTTCATCATCAATCTATGAAATGCATAACAAATGTAGCTTTGTTAGCAATTCTTTCTTCACTCGCTCCTTAATCGATTGTTTTCTTTTGTACAACATTATTTCGGCTTGGTTGCGAAGCGGGATTAAATTGTCATTGAAGGAAGGATCAATTTATGTTTGAGGCTAAGATGGTGTACATTGGTTACCAGATAGGACTAACAATCTTATAAAATATTTAATATCTAATATAAATGACAATAATAATATCATTGATAATTTATCCAAGTTTAAAATGCATATATATTAAAATTTATTAGTCAAGCCTACACAACAAATGTTACAATACAATTAAGTTTAGTACCACAAATAAGTTAGCTCCACCACTATGTTTAAAAAAAAAAAAAAAAAATTGCCAAATACTAGGACTTTAACTTCAATTAATTTTATCCAGTATGTCTCAACTAAGTCAGGATATTGGCTGATCACGGGGATAAACAGTTCAAACTCTCTTAGTTAGTGAGGAGATGAGCTCATTTTGGCGCATGTTGGTTCAAATGATTCAAGCATTTGAACAAAATTGATAGGAAACACGAGTCAAATGAGTTAACTAGGGTATACCTGTGTAATGGCATCCTATAGAGTATACCTGTGTTCAATTAATAGAATTAGTTTTTAGGTTAAGGGTCTGTTTTGGCTCAAAACCAATTCAAGTCCATTTAGACCAAACTGGGTCGGTTGGATCCAAATAGTCAAATTACGAGGTGTGTTGTATCTTATGGGAAGCTTATAGTCCAAAGCAGTTGGCCAAATTGAGTTTGAAGTTAGTTTAGTTTAAATAAAGCCAGTAGTGTTCAACTAAGTCAATTTGGATTTAATAGCTCCAATTAACCAATCAAGATATTGTTCGCTTTATCCTATGGCCTCACAGTTTTGTCTCGTTGGTGTTAACTTCCCAAGAGGTTACCCACTCAAAAGTGCTACAAAGCGAGCACACTTAACTTTAGAGTTTTTGACAAAACTTCAATCGTTACACTAAAAAGTATCTCGATGCTTAAGAATTTAGTTTCTTTCTACTTGAGTAGTTTCACAATCTCCTCCATTTAAGTAAATGACATCACGTCAGTACCGTAAACCCAAAATCATTATCTAGAAAAATAGGATTCTATAGGTGGCCCCTATAATTTCAAAAGTGACGCACACCATGTAATACTTTATCTCATCTAAGATTCAAGAGGTGAATCTCATGGCATAACCCTTTAATTTGTATGACAGTCAATTCTCATTTTCAGTCTAGTGCAATGCTTTGTTAGCATTTGTAAAAGCCCAAACTCTCACCCATCGAGATATGGTATGCTTTGGCCTAATGCCCTCACAATGTTGCCCCGTTGGTGTGACTGCCTAAGAGGTCACCCATCCTAGGAGTGCTCCCCCACGAGCCCACATAACTTTAGAGTTTCTGACGAGTTACAACCGTCACACTAAAAATCCCCTCGATGCTTAAGATTCCAGCCTCATTTTACTTAAGGGGTTTTCATAATCTCACCCACTCAAGTAACTAACTTACTTATCGATACTTTAAATCCAGAATCATCCACAAAACATATAAGGTTCTAGTTGTGGCTCCTAGTTCAAGGGGTGGCTCTCACGGGTCTGTTGGTCTAAGCAAGCTACACCAAATGTTCATCTAGATCTATTAGATTGTTGCTAATATATAGTTTTATCATATTTGATCAATTTAGGGTTCAAAGAGTTTATCTTAGTCAAATATAGTCAACTCATCGACGATTTGGTGGCTAATAAATTAAACCATTTGGCTCAAAATCATCATAATGATCTAGAGTCTAAAAGAAATTAGAATTATGTTCGTCATAGGTGAAGAAAAACTTCAATGGTTAATTACAATGCACAAAAATGTTATTAAAACATTGAGAAAAAAAATGATGGCTTAAACCACCAACTATGTCAATTGGACTTGAAGCTTGGAAAGAGTCTTACATGGGGACTAGCTAATGACAAATCTGTTTTAAGATAATTAAAACAATTAAGAATTGAATGATCAATGAGAGCTCCCTATGGTCTTTTTTGCCAAGTCCATCATGATTCTATAATCATCCTATGGTCAAATATCTAAAATCACCATAAGATAAGCGCTAAGATAAGATTTCTAATAGGCTAAGCCAAAAAAGAATCTATAGTGTCATCACGGCGTGCATGTGTGTGATATAATGACGACATGAACCCGAGCAAACCCAAATCTCCATGAACACGACAAAGGCGCATTTTAAGGAGTTAATTACACTTATCCTTTTTTTTAATTGATAATTATGATATTATTGTTACAATGATGGGACATTGTTGAATCTTTTAGCAATGATAAGGAGAAAGGAGCTTTTTAAGGAAGTGAAAGCGAGGATATAAAGGAAGGAAGGAAATTTAGGAAATTCAAATTAATTTTCACCCTCTTATTTGGCTGATAAATTGAGCTTTTATTTTGATTATAATAGGATAAACCAGTCTTGATAATTATTTCTTCATATTTTTATTAGAATTTAGAAAGAAAATGTTGACATGAAGATTTTATTCATATTTCATTGATAATATGAAGTAGTGAAATGAAATAAAATTATATTATATAGTCATATTTGAGTTCTAAACCATATTAAAAAGCTTACAAATGTACCGTGAAAGCCACTAAATATATACGTTAGCAGAGGAGTCAAAGTTATGTAGTAAAATAAAATTATGGGCATTTAACCCATAATTCTTGTGAATTTACATATTTAACACCTAAACTTCCATTTTTAAAATTTTTAACACTCAAATATTTCATGTAGATGTAAAATGGTCTACATGTAAATATCAAATTTTAGGTGTTAAATATATAAATAAATAGGAATTGTGTAGCATGCAAGTAAATCTTCCTAAAAATTAATAATAAAGCAAAATATATACTTGCATGCTTTTATTTTTATATTATAATTAATTTTAATTAGAAATAAAAGTGATTATAATTACTTAGATTTATTTCCATTTAATGATTTTTATATATTTCAATAAATTTTTAATTAGACACATGAAGTTGGACAAAGATGAAGCAAATGATTCAATAATACTGAAAAGGTTCTCATTATAAATAATAGTTCCTCTCATTAGATAAATGAAGAGTAATCAAACAGATTAAAAAACAATTATGGGGCATTTACATACATACCACCCAATTCCTATGTACTTACATATCTAACATCTAAACTTAAAACTTTTTTTTTTTTACATTTATACCACCCAAAATTTTCAAATCACATAATAAATACCACTACATTTATACCACCCAAATCTTTCAAATCACATAATAAATACCACAAATTTTAACTTTTAAAAAGTGAAATATACCTTTTCGTGAAAATGAAATACACCTTTTCGTACAAAGGTAAGGTGTCATGTCCGTAAAAATTGAAGTTCATGTGTTAGATATATATGTAAATAAACAAAAATTGCGTGGTATGTATGAAAATCTTCCAACAATCATTTGGAATAGAAAATCACTGCTCTGAAGGTTGAACGGCTCTAACCTTGATAATATACTTTTGACAAGAAGAAGAAGACGGAACACTGTCAGCATCTGATCCACACAAAACACCAAATTGGCCGTATCCGTAGCCGATATGAATTCCACATTTTCGACAGAGAAGTTTGATTTTCGACTTGTAGCAACTCAGGCTGAACGGGAAACAACTCAACTCGTCGACCTGAGTGAATCGACTCAGATCGACCACCGGAAAATAAAGCATGTCCTTCTTGTTAGACCTTCTCTGAACAGAGTTTTTGGACGATGACAATTGTTTAGAAGAAGTCAAATTCAAAGGATATCCACATGAGCCACAACTGCATTAATAGATTGAAAAAACAATAAGGTTGTGATGTTTCATAAAATTTTTTGCAGCATTTACATACATACATACATACCACCCAATTAACATACATACCACCCAATTAATATGTATTTACATATGTAACACCTATACTTTACTTTTTACATTAATACCACCCAAATTTTCCATATCAGGTCAAATATACCATTTTGACCATTAAAAAAATGAAATACAGCTTTTCATAAATATTTAAGGTGACATGTATGCTAAAATTAAAGTTTAGGAATCTGAAATGTAAATATGTAGGAATTGAGTGGTATGTATGTAAATCTTCCAAAATTTAAGACAAAATTGTAGTTTGGTGTAGTTATCATGGAGGAATTTTGTGCTGTAATGTTTTTTTTTTTAAGTTTAAACATTAGAGTTGTTTTGACCTGATGATATCCCAATTGAAGTATGGAAATGTTTAGGAGATTTGGGAGTTTCTTAGCTTAATAAACTCTTTAATATTATTTTAAAAACTAAAAAAAATGTCTGAGGAGTCGAGGAAGAATTTTTTGGTCCCCATTTTTAAGAATAAAAGGGATGCACAAGAGTATGCGAATTATAGAGAAATTAAGTTAATGTGCGTACTTTAAAATTATGGGAGTGGGTAATTAAACATAAGTTAAGACGTATTACAAATATTCCTCATAATCAATTTGGATTTATGTCGGGCGGGTCTACCACGGAAGTTGTACATTTATTGAGAGGTTTGATGGAAAAGTTTAGAGATAATAAGGAGGATCTACATTTGATTTTTATTAATGTAGAAAAATCTTTCGATAAGGTTCCAAGAGATATCCTATAGAGAGCTCTTAAGAAAAAAGGTGTTGATATGACTTATATTAAAGTCATTAAAGATATGTATAGATATGTACGCTAGAGTTGTTACTTGTGTTCGAACTGAAGGAGGATTGACCAAATATTTTCCCATTTCTGTTGGATTACATCAGGGATCGGCTTTAGACATTTTCTCAAGTTTGAAGTTTAGTTCTCCAAATCTCAGTGTGACTTAATTGTGGTTATTGAGAGGACTTGAGAATTGATGTGTAGCTTCACACACACACACACAGATAGATAGATAGATATATAATACTTTGTAATGGTTATAGTCTTGCTCAAGAATTGTGTGGCAATATGATTATGTGAATAGGGCTGTCAAAAAAGCTTATTGTTCGCGAAAAAACTCATGTTCGGCTCGTTCGTTAAGTAAACGAGCTCATGTTCGGCACGTTCGTTAAGTAAACGAGCAGAACACGAACAAGTTTTAAAAGCTCGAATTATAAAAGAGTCAAACACGAGCGAATTATAAACGAGCTGAACACGAACAACTCTTTGTTCGCTCATGCTCGACTCATTTTAGCTCGAAATAGAAAAAAAATATATATAATTATCTATATAATAATATATTACATATATTATTTATATAATAATATTATAAATATATATATATTAAGTTTAAATCATAACACCTCGTGTGGTAACGTGGTTAATGTCTTCTTTTGCATATATTTGATCCAGGTTCAAATTCAACACTTTACATCTTATTTTTTCAATTTAACTTTAACGAGCTAATTTCGAGCCGAACACGAACACGAATATTTAAGTCGAGTCGAACACGAACACACTGTTCACGAGCCAATTTTGAACACAAGCTGATTTCGAACACGAGCAATTTCTAATGAGCCGAACATGAGCGTTTACAGCCCTACCTACAAGAAGCACTATTCCTTCTTCAAAGACCATAGCACCGTAAGAAACTGATTATATTATTTTTTTCTAATTTTGCTACGTTATAAGGATTTGATGAGTTTAGAAAGACTATGTTTATCATGTCATAATATTGGTGTTGGTTAGCACTCACATATGATTATGGAGACCTTAAGTGTGTCACAATTTCACCATCCGTCTGTGTGAAAGAATTTGAGTAGCAATAGTTAATGAGTAGTGAAATTCTAATCCGAGAGGGTATTGGGTGTAAATACAAGCCAATTTTGATTGAATCATATAAAAATCATACATGTGTTACTAACTCATGTTGATATATGTTTTTTTTTTTATGTTTAGATACAATTAACAACAAAAAATAATAAAACATTAATTCCCCCAATGTGTTAAGCTCTTTAATTGGTATCTGAAAAATGCTCAGTATTTGGCCTAACAATTAACACTAGATCCACATAGAGTAAAATTTTTCTTTAAGCAATACAAAAGGTCACTTCAAACACAAGCTATTTTTTCTTAATAAATAATATATCGTTTGATTAATGAAAGAATATAACGGTAGATTTCTAAGAGGATAAAATTCTCACCTTTGGAACAAGCTCACCATCAAATACAAAAAAAAAACTATTCAAACTTCTTATGGTTAAGATAGAACCAACCAAATATGTTCATGATGCTAATAAAAATAGGCTTGTGCATAAATTTGAGATATTTTGAATGAAAAGTGATGAATATATTTCCAATATGCACAATAGATTTATGACAACAATTAAATTTTGACATTCGCTTGGGTTGGATCTATAAAAAAGTTGATAGATTTATAAAGGTTCTACAATATTTTCGATGTGGTAGGATCCTATCATCCTAAGTTAACTCACATCATAAAATCCAAGTGCATATCAAGACACACTTGATCAAGGCAAGGGAAAGTGAAGATCTATCTAACCAAAGTAAAGATAATATCACTACAAGTCAAAAATAATAATAATAATAATAATAATAATGGAAAAGAACACTTCAAAATGGCAAAAAATGCGAATAAATAGATAAAGTGTGAATGATCTAAAAGAAATTATGATAAATGCTAAAAGACGCAACAAATATATGAAAATTTTACAAAGTTAAAGGATAAAAGGCAAAGTTCTTTGCATATGAAAAAAGAGGAACGAGTTGTGACAATTGTAAGAAATCTAGGTACATCAAAGAGGATTTGGCTGACCTCATTAGCAAGAAAGACAAGAAGGAAATTTAGAGGGAAAAAATTTTAAAACAATTACAAAACATTGTAGACCAACTTTGATTGTGATTCAAATTCTTCATCAAATGACTTCAAGGGGGTAGAATTTTGCCTCGTGTCAAGAAAGAAGTATGACACACAAGCCGAATAACTTCATAGTGGTGCCGGTGAAAATGCATAGTATTTAGACCGTGGATGCTCAAAATACATGTAAAGATTAATTAAAATTCACATTACTGGAATTAAGAGATGGTGGATCTTACAAATTGGCAACAATACCCTAATGGAATTGAAATAATAGGGTCATAATTCATAAACCATCGATAAGATCCTCTTTGAATGTTCTAAAATACAGTTTAATTAACAAAAGTAAATTTTGGGATCAAGATTCTAATAAAAAATTTCATTCATCATTTTGTTTAGTTGGAATAAGGTGGCAATATTATTCTTTTTAGTCATAGATTTGACAATGTTTATATTCTTGATATCGCCATGATTGAAAATGTAAATTTGAACAACTTAAAATCTAACATGGATGATGTTTGGCTTTATCAAAGAAGAAAATTCCATGCAAATATGCACGCACACACAAAAACGTTTTTAAGTTAGATCATGCTATTAGCTTGCCAAATAATGATTATCATTATGATTGTGCACGTGATGTGTGTAGTAAGCTATAAGCCAACAAACTAGATCATTATTTCATTTAAAAAAAATATTGTTACTATTTTTGTTAGAAGTTAAATTAAGAAATAATTTATTCTTGTTAGAAGTTATGAATATCAGATTTATTTCCTTAGATTGGATTTATTTTCTTTC